CATTGTGCTTTCTAAACCAAAGGTAGAGAGTGCTTCTTGTCGTCTCTAATTTGGGCCTCTAATTAAAATTGGATGTTCGGTTTACTCCACTCCCAAAGCATAAACTTCAGCTTTTTATAGCCTAAGCAGTGTTCTATTTTAAACATGTGAAGGAAATGCATTTTCAGTTATAAACATTTGCTCCTGTGAATCTGCTCTTATTTGCTAGCAAAGGATGTGGGACAGGATGTTTCACTCTGTTGCTCTGGTTTTCCTGTGTTGCTTAAATCTGTTTAGAGAGAAGAAAAATAAATAAATAAAGTGTTTCTGCTGGACAATTTCTATAAACTGAAGTAACTCTAAAAATGAAAATAAGTCTGTGGAAAAAATATTAGAATGATTTCTTTTAATAAACTGGATTATTCCTATTGGTTTTTCCCCTGAAAAGACTTTCCATGCCATGCGCATGCAGCCGGCAGCAGATACTAATGTTGGCACCGATCAAATGAGCCCACTTAGACACCTTAGATCAGCTGACTTCCTCCTGACCCTGTCTTTTCCCAAGCACAGTTACAACTGCAGAAGCTTTTTGATATTACAAAAAAAATCATGCCAACCTTGGTCATCTTGTAGATTTATTCAGAAATTCAAAACACACTGCATAATTCAATGAGTCCCCATTTTCATATACAATTCTGAGGGTTTTTTCACTCAGGCAGACATATCCTTGTGATGTTACGTTCCATTATAGTTTTCAAAAAAAACCTAATTCTGATCAACTTTCACTTTACCCCTTTGTAAGGGAGCCAGCAGGTCATTAATCTACTGAAAGATATTCCATCAGCTGGCCCCTCCAGATTCCCTCTAAGTCCTCCACGCCGCTCTCTGCCCAGATGCCGTCCTGTACAGACGAAAGGCTCTTCTGAATCAAGCCTTACTCAGACTCGTTGGAGCCCTCTTTTCGACTAGGCCTCAGTCACGGCCTCTGTCCTTGCTGGGCTCACACAGCCGGGTTTTAGCAAGTATCCTGCAAAGTCAGTTTAAAGAGAATCCCCATTCTTAGTATCTGATCAAGTTCCTCAACACCTATGATGTGTAATTCCTAGCCTGCTGCCAGCAAGAACCCCCCCCCCGCCCCCACCCCTGAGGTCTCCTCTTAGTCATATTCCATCCACTGACCTGCCTCCTCTCATTCTCTCCTTGGCTATGAATCCTGAGCTGTCTTTGCTGTATTCAGAGTTGTGCCTGATCTCTTTCCCCTTTTGTGCTAGTCTTAATATCTATGGCAATAATCCTGAATAAATCTTCCTTACCAGCTTAACAAGTGTTAGAATAATTTTTCTTTCACAAGACTCAGTGGTCAGTCAACTAATGAATGCACAAATAAGCAGAACAAATCAATATTTCTCTCACTCCCTCTAAAATCAATAAATTAAAAAAAAATTTTGTAAAGACTCAGTGGTCAATGGAGCATCCTGGCAAGAGATGGGAGGAAAGGAGGAATGAGGGATCTGGGCATTTATTCCCCCAGCTTCCCCCTGGAGGATCCATCACTCAAGTGAAGGTCTTAGCTCCTGTCAGGAGGCCCTCTCTCTCGGCCATAAACTGCTCCCCCTCCTGCCTCTTGGGGCTGAAGGGTGGTGATGGAGCCTCACTATTATTACCGGCCCGAGAGACTCCGCACTATTGCTATCCCTGTGGTTTTTCATCACTTTGTGAGTTATTAAACTCTCCTCAAAGTATCCTAATTTGAGGATGCCATCTGTTTCCTGCTGGGTCTCCCTAATGCAGACATCACCTCTGCAGATTTCCTCCTAAAAAGGCTATTCGATCTTTCTAAGAAAGGAAGGCTGGTTACAAAATGCAGTCGTCTTTCCATGTGAGGGACTTGGTGACTTCAACAGGCTGACCTGGTTAAGCTGCCACTTCTCCCTCCTCTAGCTATCTTCATAATTGTAGTAACAGAGTATTTTCTGAAACATAGTTTCCAAGTAGAATCTCTAAGTATCAATAGGAATTATTTTAACCTTGCAGAGGTTGTGGTAAAAAAAATTACAGCATAGATCGCATGCATCTGAGAGATACATTCATTACTAATATGCACTAAAATGTAAAAAAAAAAATTTAAAACACTGCAAATTTGCATTTATTGTATTTATACAATAAATTACATGATTTTTATTTATTTTCAGTTACAATCTAGAAATGATAAAGAAATAGAAAAACAAATAAAAATTTTTCTTTTCAAATAATGGAAACATGGATATTGCTAAAAACTACAACCAAAAAATGTTTCTAACATTAATTAATCAAAATCTTCAATAGCTGACTTTGCAAAACCTTTGTAACGGTCACCACAAACAATATTGCTATGTTCAAGGCATAAATGCTTTCACAACACCTGCAAAAATATTTTGATAAGCAACTCTAGTGGCATTCGCTGAAGTTCTTCAACATCTCTTGGATTACCGAATCAATATATTTTTCCAGCCATTTTCGAAGGTAAATAAAAAAAGAAAATACACAACACTGACTTCTAAGTTCAAACACACACACACACACACACACACCAACTCTATCAACACCAACTTTGGAGTTCATGTTATCTCTTAGATACAATTTACTATTGCATACCACATACCCTTACAAAACACATGTTATAACCAAACTGATGGCTTAAACATCATGGGTTAGCATTAATTATGTACAAACGTGCAGCTAGTCATGACCTTGAACCTATGCACCTGATATATTCAAGGAAAGAACTTGTTTGTATCTGTCAGATCAGCCAAGACATCTGCAGGGTTAAGAAAGCCAAGGAGGCTAGGAGTAAAAATTATGCTAGATGAAACTATGCTAGAAGCCTAAGGCAGAAGAACATTTGCCTTTACATCTATCAGACACTTAATCTAGAGGTAACTTTCACCATAACACTTTTAATAAATGCAAGAGACATTATTTAATAATACCAGATACAAGCCTGGTAACTCAAGTAAAAGCCTGCGAGACTAATTCCACATGTAGTCTAAAGTAGTATTTTTTCAAATTTAGGTTGTAATAGATTGTGAATTCAATTCAGTGAGTCCTAACATTTCAAAAAATAACACATATTCAACATAATGTAAGATAGAAAATCAAAGTTTATCATATACAGTAAAGGAAAATATTATTTTACCGACTTTTTATTCACTTTTTTACATATCTATATTTATGGGTGTGCTAGGACACACTGTAAAATGTTTTCCTTACTATGAGCAGCAGTCAGTGAAGTCTGCAGGCCACTGGTCTGAAGTGAATCCCTTTCAAATGATATAATGATTATAAGGCTAAAAACATGTTTCAGCCTACAACCTCACTTTTTAAAAATCTCAACCCGCACTCAAAATACAGTTTATTTTGTGACAAGCACATCAATAACTGAAATAAAAAATGTTATGGAACAATATTTACTCTTACTATGTGATGCACTATAATATTTTTTATTCAATTTCACTTCTTTTAAATGATGATTACAAACCACAGCTTAAAAACCTCTGAGCCAAGCCTGGAGAACCCAGTTCACATTACCCTGGTCCTTCCACCACTGCCTTCATTGGTGTTTACGACACTTCCACTGTCGTAGCAAGCATTCAATCTTTTTCCTTTTTTTGGCTCCTGTGTAACTACTACATGAGTTCTGCCACATAGTCGCTTTGGGGGGCAAGAAATACTTGGAGTAAGAAGCAAATAAAGAGCATGGAGCAGATGTGGACATAGCTCCAGCTGCCTGTCCTTGCTCACCGCCACGGCACTCCCGAGAGCAGCCCCTTACTAAAGCACCTGCAGCTCACTGCCTGAGGACTGAGGACAGGCGGAAGCAGCTGAGCCAGTGAAGGACAAATATCCCAGCCTCCTTGCCCTGGCCGTGTTCTTCACTTCCTCCCTGAGTTCCTCAGCAGGACTGAGCACCAGCCACCAGCAGCAGTTACCTGCTGGGTATCGCACCCTGCGCTGGCTTCTTCCCACCTTTCACCTCCCAACTGGGGCTTCCTGGAATCACCTCTCACTTTAACGACTTGCATTCACTCAAACCTTTGTCTCAGGGTGTGCTTCCAGGTAAACGCAACCCTGGTGAGCACACCAGTGTAACAAAGTGTTATTTAGAGCCAGGGCTACAGAGATGAACAAGGCCTGTCCTAGACAAGCTCATAATCTGATAGGAAAACCAATGATTTTTTTTCAATGTAAAAAAAACTTCACTGTTCAAAGCAATGACATAAGTATGCTTAGGGAGTGAGGGAAGAAGTGGCAAATGCTGACAGAAGGGTCAAGAAGCCCCTATAGGTGACTTTTCTCCCCTAACACCTCAGGGACACAGAGTTCCCCATGGGAGCCAGCAGGTGATCAGTGCTACCTACAGGGTGTGGTCCACATTCACTTCTCTGCAGGCTAGAGCCCTGGCTTCTCGTGTTTACTGTGAGGCTTTACGTCTCACACATAAGCTAAGAAGAAAGGAATTTTTATTTTCTCCAGAGAGAAAGAATTCTATTCTAGTCTTCAGCTAAAAATAACTCAAGAAATATGGAAAATATGAGAGAAGAAAGACTATGAAGTTCCTGAAAATATGTTAATAGAATTATTTGTGAATCAGCTTTGACCTTATTATGTTTCTTTGAGGTCCTTGGGGGATGGGAGTACTCAACCCAAATCTTCATTAGACGTTCTGAAGAACTGCTGAAATTTTCATTTAAAAATTATTTCTTAGATGTAAGGTTTAGTATGTGTTCAGCCCTGTGATCAGCACTGTAAATCGGCACTTTTTTCAGGCTGATAAAATGAGAGACCTATGGCTAATTTCCCTTCGCATTTTCCTCTTGGCAACTATTTCAGCAAAGGCGGGGCAGCAGCATGATTTCGTCTCCCAGGAAAGGAGCCATGACAGCTGCAGCTAAGGTGACAGCTGCAGTTAAGGTGCGTCCTCACACTGAGAGCAGCTTCTTCAGTGTGCCAGGTGCACTTGGGCCTGGGCCTAGAATACTCACCCCGACCCAGCAGGGAGCGACGGCAGAGCTGAAGGCACGTCAGCCTGTGGTTTTTCTTGATCATTTTGCTTGAAGAAGGATTTGGCCTCTTTAGATGTAGCATCCACTTCCTTAGTCACCCTGTGCAAAGGAAGGAGACATTAAGTTTACCAAAGGAATACAAAGACAGAGACAAAATCGAAAAAGAGGGAATGAGCGAGAACAAGGAAAACACCCACTGGGTCTTCAGTAAGTTCTGGCTGTTGAGCTTTATAATTTCCAGTTTACTACAATAGTTCCAGATAGATATTTTCCCTTGCTAAATGAAATGATAATGCATTAAAGTTTGATCTCTCTAAAATCCCCTCCATTATTTTTGTCAGCATGAAACACTGCAGTAGTCACTACTGAATCACAGTCCTTGTGGGTTACTGCTGTGAGGGCTGGAAAAGGCCCTCCCACTGCACCTCACGTGTAGACTAGGACTTACACTGAAAGATCCTGTACAAGGTCGAGTGGGGAGATGAAATATTTGGGAGGAAAACACTGGTGTTATTTCAGAGAGAAAAGCAACGGTATAAACAACTAGAAATACTCTGTAGAAGATTCCTATTCTACACCTAAAACAAACCAAACATGAAATGAGATCTCTGAAAACTGGCTAATTCGGCAGTCACCTGGGAATGGACAAAAACTTTAATTGAGAATTCTGCAAAAACTGCCCTCAATAAAACTGATGATCAAATAAGGGGCAAATAAGGATATTTACGGTGCTTAAATTTTCAGATAAAAAAAGAGAAATGTCTAATGCCTGCCTAGGCTTGCCAATTCAACAAAAACATCTGAGGAATTTTCTTTAAATTCCAATCTATCTGTAGGAGGGTCAAAAATTATAGTCACTGTATTATGGATGTTCAACCAGCTCATCCAGAATAAGGCTGGCTGAGAAAAATGACAGATGAACGCTGTAAATTCCACCTTTGCAGGGAGGTAAGCCTCTCTCTTCTCTCCTTCCTTCTAGGCTTCCAAAACCAAACTTTCTTATCAAGAGCCATCTCACTCCTGCACTCAGTACTGTGTCACCCACAAAAGTGACAGACTAAAATGTGAGAGTTTTATATTAAGAACCTTCACTGGGAAAGAAGGCCAAGTTAACCTTGAAGGGTGACTTAAAAAACTGTCAGTCCCCTGCTCAGGCTCCTGTCTTGCGATGGCTCAGTGCTACCCGGAGAATCCAAAAGAAGCTGCTGAACCTTGCCTTCACAGCCCTCTAAAATCCAGACCAACTTCCTCTCACGCTGAATTTGTGTGTCCCTCACTCTCCCAAATGAACCTCTCAATAGTAAGCGTCAAGAGTCAAAAATAAGAGAATTTATATGATAGATTAAACCATCATTCAGCAGATATTCCTTCCCTTTTGACCAAGAAGATAATTTCCCCACCCCACTGATATCAAGCTTGGACACGTGACTTGTTTCCGTAGTCAGAGAGATGCTAACTGATTTGACAGCAGTAGAAGTTTTAAATGTGTTCCTGTTCTTTCACGTGCCTCTTGACACCCTCTAGCCATAAAAAGAATATGCCTCAGGCAGCTGCTCCAAGGGGGTGAAAGACATGCTGCAGATCTGAGCCCACCAGCAGCGCAGAGCCAAGTCTAGATGAGCTGAGCCTCAGACGGCCAGAAACACACCAGCAACAAATGCATGCTGACTGGTATATCCCCCGAGCCCTGGGATGGTCTGTTCCACAGCAGTTCTGTAGCGAGAGCTGACATACTTACAGTTCATGAGTGAGAAAAATTATATTTTAAGGGGTTAGGTTACTTTTTCAAGACCAGCCAGAGATTAAATAGCAGTGCTAGAAAGAACCCTGTAGATGTGGGACCTGTGAAAAAAAAAATGACATGGCCTCTACCCTTAAGGGGCTCACAGCCTATCAGGGCAGCCCCCCACGAAAACAAGTCATGACCACATGTGATCTGTAGTAAGTGCCATAAAGGAAGCATGGAAAAGTACAACCGTGGGAACACCCTGTTCATTTCTGTGTGTCCGGTCCTATTCACCTCACCAGGAAACAAGTTCTATAAACCGGTGTATTCCTCTCAGGGGCTTTGCTAATTGACAGAGTAATATCAGCAGAAGATGACTCCACCTAGAAGAACGCCACTTTTAACAAGCAACAAGAAGAGATTCAGCCATCAAAATACCTTCAAGTAGGAGTGGTCTAAATTGCAGACCACTCCTAATATACAAGAAGGAGCCTTGACCAGAAAAGGCCCACTACTGGCAGTAGTTAATTCAAGTGTTATCAGCAGAAATTCCATTTTAAGTTCATTTTCACTTACTCAGAGCTTCCTCAAAAGTCTTATTTAGGCAGAAACTTTCCATGACTGGCCTTTTCCAAAAGGTGAATCATCTAGGAAAGTTTGAGCTAATTGGCTCAGCTGGTTATGTGATGGGGAAGGATAAAAAATACTATTTTTCCTTATTCCCCAAGGTTAATAAGCTACACATTTTTAAGTGGGGGAAAAACAAAATAAAAAGGTAAAGATCCAAAATTTAACAATTATAATATAATTAGAAAATACTAAGAGACTAACTTTGTGTTATTACTACCTTATACTTACAAATTATTCTCAGTCATCACTAGTTCTTTTTCATGTTTCTTAAAGATGTAGTAATGCTCTTAACTTGATACAAAGACAAAAAGAAAAAGCAGAATAATGACATAAAGAGATTAAAAGATATGCTCAAATCTATATACCAAGTTTGTATCTCCTCAATTAAAATTCAGGCCTCCCAAGTTCCTACATGAGAGTTCCTTATGATATTTAAATTTAAGTTAAAAAAAAATCCTGCCAAATTGCCAGCTATTAACAGGGGTTTAGTTTTCTTTAGAAGGTAGTTAGAGAACTTTCACTTGTCATGTTATGTATCTCTGTAGTGCATGTTTTTAAAATAAGCACATATTGCCCTGGCCGGTGTGGCTCAGTGGATGGAATGCCAGCCTGCGAACCGGGGGTGGGGGGGGTAGTCAGTTTGATTCCTAATCAGGGCACATGCCTGGTTGCAGGCCAAGTCCCTAGTGGGGGGCACGAAAGAGGCAACCAGACACTGATGTTTCTCTCCTCTTTCTCCTTCCCTTCCCTTCTCTCTAAAAATAAATAAATAAAACATTAAAAAAATAAAATAAGCACATAGTACTTTTGAATACATGTGTGAATGTTGTATTCATGACAAAGTGCTTCCCTATTCATCTGTTAGAAGATACAGTGCTGCCCTCTTCTGACAAATCATAAAAATAGCAGGCTCCCTGAAAATGCATTCAATATTTAAAATTGCCATTCATTTGTTTTAAAAGTGAAATAGGAAATTTGTGTTGGACAACCACATTAATAAATAGTAGTAAGTCCACACAATTTAATTTGATCAGGAAATGTAATGATTTCTCATAGTAACAGTTACTCACCAGCTTTTCTTACTCTCATGTAGGGCCAGTGGTTAAGTTATAATAAATCTTTCTTTAGATATCCTATATGACACATGGAAAATAATGCAAGCCAAGAAAAATTTCTAAAAATTTTAAATCCTTTTATTTCTAACGGTGTATTAAACACTTTCTGTATTACTTTTGTGGGACTTCCTATTACAGATTTACCATCAGTGTTCTGCTATCCTCTATTGGACAACTTCTATCGTTTGCAGTGCGATTTCTGGTAGCAAAATATATTACTAATTCACATCATCAGGAATTATTCTGAAAGATGTTGCCATAGGTGCTCTAACTTATTACCACCAATATTGGGTGTTACTGATGCAGTGCACCGAGGAGGACAAAACATCAATGCAGTATTTTTGCCTAAAGTGATTAATCTGACACTAATCGTGAGAAAACAATTCAACAATCCAAATTAAGGGACATTTTACAATACAAAAGGACTAAAAAAATATATGTTGACAAATACAAAAATGTAGAGGATACCGGCCAGCAGTATCCATCTCGGCTTCGGATGTTCGTTGAAACATGAGAAAGACATACACAGAGACAACCAAGTCCTGTGGGGGAATAGGAACAGAAGGGCCACTCCTCACGTGGGGGGCGCCTTGGCCACCCTCTCTCTGGTGGGGAGAGCGCCCCATTCCCCCTCCAGAGAGGCCTTTTATTGGTTTCATTTGAATAAGAATTCAGGTAAAGCTCATTACTCATTGCTAGGAAGTAAGGATCAAACAATAGATAATAAGGAAGCCTGAGGGCCTATTTTGAGTCAGGGTCAAAGAGCCTTAAAACTTTAAAGAACAAACTTACTTCTTCCTTGGACCACCCTTATCATTCAACTGAGAGCATTCTAAACAAAGCAGGTTTCACAGGATTTTACATATTCTTTCTTAGGCCTGATCACCTGGGGGGAACCCGCTCTTTTCAGCAGAGTGGCACCACCCTGTCATTGTTTCAGGCTTAGGTGGAGCAAAGGAAGTAAGGCAGCCAAGGGATAAGGAGATTTTCCCCCAGATGATGAGGACTCAGGCTATATCACAGCCGAGGAGCGAGGGTCCATCACCCCCTTTTGCTGTAGCCCCCAAAGTCCTTTCTTGGGGTCCTCCCACATGATCATGCCTGTCTTAGGTCGTTCCCCCTTTGGGGAATCTTACCCGTCATTGGCTAACTGACCAAGCATTGGGGTTCAGTTATGAATGAAGCAGCAGAAGCAGCGCTCCTGCTAGGGAGATAAGCTTTTTTCTCCTTGCAGGCTTACAGTCCAAGGCCACTCCCTCAGCCTTAGCCTAGGCGGGGGTTACAGCTTCTGATACCAGGCAGGGCAGTTCCCAACACAAAAAGGCTTAAAAACAGTTCTAATTCCAAGGAGGCTAAAAAAGACTAAACACAGTGTATAATCCTGAACTAGATGTTAAATTGAACAAGAAATAGAGTTACAAAGAACATTATTGGAATAACTGAGGGAAAACTTGAGTAGAATTGTATATAAAACTACTTAAACAAAACTACCAAGATGAGATAGGTACAGAAATGGTAAGTACTTAAAAAATTTGTTTGCAATTCAACAGTGTCATAATATCCAAGACGTGCTCAGTGGACTCACTGCATGAAACAGGGCGGACATCAGTTCAGGTATTGCCAACTTTGCAAGGTGGTCATGAGCTATCAGTATATTAGTCACGTGCAGTAAGACCACATTAGAATGTTTAGGTGACTTGGTCAGCTAACACCCCAAAACATGATAAAATGTAAACATTTACTTTTTTAACTATAATTTTTTCAATTATAGTTGACATAAATATTACTCCGGTTTCAGGTGTACAGCATAGTGGTTAGACATTTAACTTACAAACTGACCCCCCTGGTAAGTCCTGTACCCACCTGACACCAGACACAATTATTATAGTATTCCTGACTGTACTCCTCCTCAGCTGCACTTTACATCCCTGTGACTATTTTGTAAGTACCAGTTTGTATTTAACCCCTTCACCTTGTTCACCCAGCCCCGCTCCCACCTGGCAACCATCAGTTTGTTCTCTGTATCTATGAGTCTGTTTTGTTTGTTCTTTAGATTCCATATATAAATGAAATCATATGGTATTTGTATTTCTGTCTGACTTATTTCACTTAGCATTATACCCTCTAGGTTCACCATCACTCACAAATGGTAAGATTTCATTATTTTTTATGGCTGTATATATTATATGCTGTATGAAATATATATTCTTATGGTTGTATATTACATATAATATAATATATACATATTACCCAATCTACCACTTCTTTATCCAATCATCTGTTGGTGGGCACATAGGTACCTTTCATATCTGGGCTCCTATAAGTAATGTTACAATGAACATAGGGATGACTATATCTTTTCAAATCAGTATTTTGGATTTCTTCAAATTAACACCCAGAATTGGGATTGTAAGCATTTATAAATTAGTTTTACAATCATTTAAATTGTTAACAAAGTGTGACTTTTAAAAATCATACTTTAAATTAGTTAACTAAATTTTATAAAGTAAAATTGGTAAATTTTTAAATCCTAATTTACTGATGGCAAAACAAGCCTCACTGTTTTGTAAAGAAAACTCATCTTTTCTGAATGCAGCAGTAGTGATGAATCACGTGATAATAATGGAAATAATCCCAAAGAAATGAAGGACAACTGGGGTCACACTGCTTTCACCCCATAAGCCCTCTCACACTGACTGGTTTGCAATCACGCAGTGCTAAAACCAAAGTGAGCTCTCTGCAGTGATGTTTTGGCTAATGACACATTTACACACAAAACATAAGGAAATGAGTTCATAGTAAAAGAATTCTTTGAAATAAAGAGTCTTGAACTAAAAAGCCAATATAACTAGACGCAAAATTCCATTCATTAACATTAATGCATTGCAGCCTTCAGAGGAAGGAGCGCTTTTGGTTACTAACTAAAAAACAAACAAAAAACACTGCCAAAACCCTAGAAAATATTGTATCAAATATGTCTGCTTGGGAATCTTGGCGCATCTGTGACAAAGAAGGTCTAGTCCTTTTGACCCATCCTGACCAGGTGGGTCAAGTGGTTGGAGCATCATCCTGAGCACCAGAAGTTTGTTGTGGGTTCGATTCCCAGTCAGAGCACATACCTATGTTGCGGGTTCCATCCTGGGTCAGAGTGTGTATGGGAGGCAACTGATCGATGTTTCTCCCTCACATCAGTGTTTCTCTCTCTGTCTCTCCCGCCCTCTCTCTAAAGTCAATAAACATTTCCTTGGGTGAGGACTCAAAAAAGAAGGTAGTTCAAGTATAACTTTCCAATACACCATAGTTTGAAGTATTCAGGATATGGCTTATGGTAGTGAAAACTGGAATAAAGTAAATAAAGTGATTTTTCAATGCAATTTAAAGAATGTCATATCACTTCTAATATGAAAATTATTATGGTATATGTGTGATTTAAACATGAGGATGGTATAAAGAATTATTCTGTCAATTTCTTGCTGACAAACATACCTGACACTCATCTGTATGATAAAACTAGGGTCACATTGTCAACAAATGTGATCTGAAGTCTAAGTGTTCAGAAGAGCACGTTCCAATGGCACAGCTGGTAAAACAGAAAAACAATTTAGATTAAGGAGCATGTGCTAGAATAGAAATGAACACACTGCTTCCTTCATCAAGAAAAGTCCTACTACCAAAAAAAATCTTGCTATAGTAGTAAAAATTATGATTTAAGGTTAATGACTTAAAGTTTTAAACGACTCTCTTTATATGTGATAAAATGAAAGCTGATCATAAAAGTGTGTGTTATGTTGTGTGCTGAGGTATGATGGTTATGAAAGAGAAAAATGATGTTGAGAATGATGAACTAGGAAATAAACAGTGTTTCCAAAAAAAAGTAACCAGTTGCTTCCCAATTTTAAAGATCTCAACTAGACAGTAAAACTTGCTTATTTCTCCGATATCTTTGGTTTTTTAATAATCTTAGTACTCCCATGCAAGTTGTTTTTCAGTAGTAAATAAAATATAAGGGTAAAAATGAAAGTTAAGAAGCCTGGAAGAACAGAGTCTCTACAGATTAACATGTTCCACAGAAGGTCTGGAACTATATTTTCTATCAAAATAATATCCACAAACAGGAAATTCATGCATCCAGAATTCCCTTTTTTCCCACTGAAGTATAACTTAAATTTAATTATAATTTGAGAGGATAAACTACTGGAAATGGACACTGATAAAGCACTGCAGATGAATTTTGAAAATACAGTATCACTGGCTTCAATTTAGATTAAAAAAAGGAAAATCCTGAACTTAGTGAAATGGCTTTAAAATCTATACTTTTATCCTCATGAAAATATCTCTGAGATGAACTGCTTCATGATAAATGTTTTGTTTTTCTTTTTTTTTTAAGGAAAAAACAAACACAGAAATAGTTGACATAAACACTGTCCCCTCCAGGAGCACCAACCCAACTTAGATTAGAGGAATTAATGCACAAAAAAAGCTATTTTGTCTCATTAAAAATTAAAAATTAATATAACAAGTGTCCAGATTTTACTTACTGAGAATTGATACTTTAGATTTTGTTTTGATTACAGACTAAAAAGGTGTAACTATTACACTGATTTTCTGTATCAATCTCGTACTCACTTTCAATGAATAGTATGTACAGTTATAAAATTCTTTTCCTTTTCCTATCTTATGTTTATTTTGATTATGTGTATTGAATTGTAATTATATGTCTATTAAATCTTATTGTTAAAAATTTAAGCTTATATGTGGTATATCTTTTTACTTTATTCTTCTGTAATTTCATTTTATTGTGTTAAAAGCATTGGTCTGTAACAGGTTGAAAATTTAAAATCAGGGTCCTCCATCTCAGAGTTTAGATAATAATCTGAGAGTAAAATTTACTGACTATGAGAGTTATATTGTACCTCAAAGGAGAATGCCCTTGTTCTTAGGAAACAGTGTTGAGGTATTTAAGAGTGAAGTAATTCTCTAATGTCTACAAGTAATTCTCAAATGGTTCAGCCAACATAGAAAGAGAAATACAGGTGGAGGTGAAAGAGACACTGACAAGTAGTAAATCTGCATGGTAGGAATATGCGTGTTCCTTGCAATACTATTCCTGCAACATTTCCGTAAGTGAAATGTTTCAAAAGAAAAAGCTGGGGGAAAATTTTTTTTAAATAATAAAAAGTTTTGCTCTACACCATTTATAAAACTAATAATGCCAAATTCTTTTTTCCAAGATGTATTTCTCTGGATGAAATAATTGGTGGAAAGAAGGTATTTTTAAGAATATAGATTTTAGCCCTGGCCGGGTGGCTCAGCTGATTAAAGCACTGCCCCACCCACCAAGAGGTTAGGGGTTGAATCCCCATTCAGGACCCATATCTAGGTTGTGGGTTTGACCCTCAGTCGGGGAGCATACGGGAAGCAACTGATCAGTGTTTCTCTCTCTCTATCCCTTCATCTCCCTCTAATCAGTAACCATATCGGGTGAAGATTAAAATAAAAAAAATATCAATTTTAGGGGAAATTATGCTTTCAGAGAACATACAGGTCTAATTAATTACTGTCAAAGAAAATAAATGTGACTACCTAAAAAAGTACTGATTGGCACTTCATCTGTTCTCATTTAGCTATAAATTAGAGATTTGCTGTTTTCACATAATAAAATTTAAGTAAGTAGGAAAGAGGAAATTCCAAACATGTGGCTCTTACCTGGAACAGCCAGGAGTTTATTAAGTCCCTACTGTTTTTCTAAACTGGTAACAAATCTCATGAATTAATTTTAAAAGTAATATTAAAGTGAGGAAATAATACTGAAACCAAACTTCTCTCCTGGCACTTTAATTTTTACCTGATTTCAGAGGCATACAGGGACTCACACTTCACAGTTAAGGAAAGTAGTAAAGGAAGAAATGACTTAGCCAAGGTTACAAAACATGACTATGTGAAACTGTACACTTTACTTTTACATGTTCTTGTTTCTGTTCAGCCAACCACTTCATAATATCCAAAAACTAGATTACAATATGTAAAAGGACCATTCTCATGTTCTCTGATAATTCATGGAGCCACTGTTCTCCTTGAGTTCAAATGTAAGGCTTCCAAATATTACAACGGGTTGGGATGAGGACAGATGACTCATAACATCATTTAGAAAAATGCTCATTTTTAAAAGAACTACTGTATTTACCATGTATAATGTACATATTTTTGCCCAAATTTTTGAAGGAAAAATAAGGATGCACATTATACATGGGTAATAGTAACTACATATCTATACAAATGTTTTTAATTCTTTTATCTATGCTTATGTGTTAAAAGCATAACTCTAGAAAGCAATAATGACATCCATATGCAAAATACTACTCTGGAATACAATAATCAGTTTTGTTTCTAAATATAAATAAATAATTGAATTAAAAAATTAAAAGAATAGATTTTTTTTCCTGAAAGTTTGTGCCAAAAACCTGGGTGCACATTATACTCGGCAAAATACAGAAGTTTCCAAGTTTGTGAAGGTCATCTTACCTGACTTCTTCACCAGCAAAATCAAACACCTTGGTGATTTTAACTTTCTCTGTTTCTTTAGGTTTCTCTAGCTTTTCTGTTTTGACCAACAATTTATTTGAACTTGTCTCTTCAGTCTCCTCTGTTTTCTATGAAAAAAGTAAAAATTAGTTTCACTTAAGGATAAAATCTAAAAGAACCATTCAATCATGCTGCTTATGGCTATTTTTAAACGTTTCATCCCTAAAACAGTTAAAGACCTAATGAAAATTTAATTGAAAAAGCTTATTTTTCCTTCCAAAGGAAATGTTTTGCTTTTCACCCAGTAGAGTTACTATCTACAGCATTGGCTGGTGCGGCTCAGTGGACTGAGAGCTGGCCTGCGAACCAAGAGGTAGGTTGCTGGTTTGATTCCCAGTCAGGGCACATGCCTGGGTTGCAGGCCGGGTCCCTGGTTGGGGTGTGTGAGAAGCAACTGATTCAATCACAGTGATGTTTCTTTCTCTCTCTTTCTCCCTCCTTTCCCCTTTCTCTGAAAATAAACAAATAAATAAAATCTTTTTTAAAGAAGACATCTATGTAGTCTATTTTCTACTATAAGCTTCAAATTGGTTTGTAAATTTTTAAAAAATCTATCTGGAGGATTTCCAGTCAAGATGGAGGCACAGAAAAACACGCCTCATCTCCCCACAAAACTACAGCAAAAATTACAACTAGACTACAAAACAAGTATCACCCAGAACTGTCAGATACAGAAAATAGAACTGTATGGCAGTCTGACAACCAAGCATTTTAAAGATGCCACGTTCATCCAGATGGCGGGGCGGGGGAGGGCAGAGACACACAAAGAGGTGGAGAGGCGTGGAAAGGCACAGAGACAGAATGGGTAGTCCCACATCCACCTGTGGTGAATAAAAGTAAGGAGGAACACCTCGGGAGTGAGGGATCCCAGCCCAAGACTAGACTACCAAGCCCAGCCCAGGGTTCCAGCACCAGGAAGATAAGTCCCCATGACTTCTTGCCGTAAAAATCAGTGAGGGGTGGGGTGGCGGAAGAAACTGCAGGATTCTCAGGAGACTCCTCTTAAAGGCCTACAATCAACCTAGGGCTTATGCAGACTTATTCCCTCTGGGATTCAGCACCAGGGCACTGGCTGGAAGGGCACCAGCTGGAAGGGCACCAGTGGCATATAGGGAGAAACTGAAGTGACTGGCAATTGGGTGAGTGAAGGGAGATAGCTTCCTCCTTGGCAAAATCCAGAGACCAGACAGTGGCAATGTCCCCATCCGAACCCTCCCCCACACAGAGCAACAGAGCGGTGACCCACTCTGGGAATTACTGAAGGCTCCACCCCATACAATTAACAGGTACGGTTTTCTACAATAGGCCACACTACTAAGACAGGGAGTCAAAGCAGCTCTACCTAATACACAGAAACAAACACAGGGAGGCTGCCAAACTGAGGAGGCAAAGAACATGGCCCAAATGAAAGAATAGAACAAAACTCCAGCAAAAGAACTAAATGAAATGGAGATAAGCAAAACACTGGATATCAGGATGCTCAAGGAACTCATTGAGTACATCAACAGCATAAAAAAGACCTGGGAAAAAATGAGGGTTACATTAAGTGAAATCTATAGGGAACCAAGAGCGGAGTGGATGAAGCTGAGAATCAAATCAACAATTTGGAACATAAGGAAGAAAAAAGCTATCAATCAGAATAGCAGAAGGAAAAAAAATTAAAAAAAAAAATGAGTATAGGTTAAGGAGCTTCTGGGACATCTCCAAACGTACCAACATCCGAATCACACAGGTGCCAGAAAGAGCAGAGAAAGAGCAAGAAACTGAAAACTTACTTGAAAAAAATAATGAAAAAAACTTCCCTAATTTGGTGAAGGAAACAGACATACAAGTCTAGGAAGCATAGATAATCCAAACAAGTTGGACCCCAAGAGACCAACACGAAGACACATTACAATTTAAATGCCAAAGGTTAAAGACAAAGAGAGAATCTTAACAGCAGTAGGAGAAAATCAATTCTTTACCTACAGGGGAGTTCCCATAAGACTGTCAGCTGATTTCTCAAAAGAAACTCTGCAGGCTAGAAGGGACTGGCAACATTCAAAGTGATGAAAAGCAAAGACCTACAACCTAGATTACTCTATCTAGCAAAGTTATCATTTAGAATTTAAGGGCAGATATAGTGCTTCTCAGACAAGGTAAAGCTAAAGGAGTTCATCAGCACGAAGCCATTATTACATGAAATGTTAAAGGGACTATACAAGAAAAAAAAAAAGATAAAAACTATGAACATTAGAATGGCAAGAGCCCTGGCTGGTGTGGCTCAGTGGATTGCACACCGGCCTGAGAACCAAAGGGTCACTGGTTCCATTCCCAGTCAGGGCACAGGCCTGGGCTGTGGGCCAGGTCCCCAGTAGGGGGAGTGTGACAGGCAACCACACACTGATGTTTCTCTCCCTCTCTTTCTCCTTCCCTTCCTCTCTCTAAAAATAAATAAAATCTTAAAAGAAAACCGACTTTGTTTTTAAAAAATGGCAACAAATCCACAACTATCAACAACTGAATCTAAAAACCAAACTAAGCAAACAAGCAGAATAGGAACAGAATCATAGGTATGGGGATTATCAGCTGGGAAGGAGAAGGGGGAGAACAGGGGAAAAAGTATAGGAATTAAGAACTGGTAGGTACAAAATAGACAGGGGGATGTAAAGTACAGCACAGGAAATGGAATAGTCAAAGAACTCATATGCATGACCTACAGACATGAGCTGGGGGGGACTGCTGGAGGGATTGGGGGTACCAGGTGGAAGGAGGAAAAGGAAAAAAAAACCTGAGACAACCATATTAACATAATCGATAAAACATATTTTTAAAAAATCTACCTGGAGGCCTAACTGGTATGGCTCAGTAGGTTGAATACAGACCTGCAAAATGAAAGATCCCTGGTTTGATTCCCAGTCAGGGCACATGCCTGGGTTGCAGACCAGGTCCCTTGATGGGGCATGCAGAAGAGACAACTGATTGATATTTCTCTCCCACATCAATGCTTCTTGCCCTCTCTTCTCCCTCCCCCCTACCCCTTCCTCTATAAAAAAAAAAAATGTATCCGAGAACTTAGGGTATTTCTGGGAAAACATTCATCACAGTTACGTATCAACTTACTTTAACTTGTGGACTTGGGGACACTTTTGACTTTGGTCCCACATCGTTGAGAAAGCTGGCCCAGAGTTCATCCTCCTTCTTTTTCCTTGCGGCCTCTGACCCAGTGTCTTCTCCCTGCTCTGCAGCCGTGTGTTCCTCCTCACTGCTACTTGCTCCAGATTCCTCACTGACATCTTCCTCTTCTTCTTCTTCTTCCAACAAGAGGCCACCTGGTTTTCTTTTCCTAATCCCCAACAATCACAAGGAAAAAGAAAGATAAGACATGCAAAATGATTTCAGTTATCCCTTCCTCAATTCCAAAGTCAATGCTGCAAACTCAAGAAAACTTTCCAATCTGGGACCACTGATTAAGATGTACACTAAGGGGCATAAAGAAGTACAATGAGATTTTGTGGAAGAAAAAAAGAATCGAGCTCTTAGCCTCCCCTTAAACACTTAGAATCAAATATAGTGTTCTATATACTTCTAAGTCAGGACTAAAAAACACCCAAAATCACCACAGAATAAATCTGTCCAGAAAGAGTGTGCCAAGAACATACATACACACACGTATATATATATATATATATATATATTATATATATATATATATATATATATATATATATATCAGATATTTTCGATTTTCTGAAGTCATTACACATGGAGAACATGTTCCATTGAGGAGAGCTTCAAATTTATTTTCACAGTTTCTTCCTAAAATTGCCCAGGGAGAAGCAGGGGGCAGGGGAATCCATATTTCCTCCCCCTTTCTGAGGATAAAAAAGTTGGAATACAGAAAATTTTAAGGACAAAAAAACTGGGCCCAAAACTCATGAGAGTAAATTGATTCTAACTTCAAGTGAATCTAATACCTAAAATTCCTTTTTCTCTTCTTATAAACTACAATCTGCTTTTTTACTTCAATGCCCAGAAAGACAGAAACGTCAATCAAAGAGAATAAAAGACTTCTATAAAAGATTCTCTTATCTGAGTTCAATAACCCATCAGAATTTTCTTTTGCTTTTCTCTTTCTTTTTTTTAAGAAACTTCTTTTGAAAACCATACAAGATATTTATTAAAGATTTATCCACAACCAGATGGTGTACAACTGGAACAGGACCACCCAGAATAAAAATAAGAGCCTTCTGCAACATAACTTTGCACATCTTTCTGAAACACAACACAGACAGCCAGCGGTTCTCCAGAGATTTCATGATCCATTCTGGGAGACACATGCTTATCTTACCCAAGACAAAGAAAGTCATGACCTCCACCAGCAATTCCATGGCACTGCATTTTACAAGGGACGGGATTGAAATCCTGGGAGAACATAGTGGCAGTGCCAGTCTGGGCTCCTCTTATGACAATGACTGCAGGCCTAGAGGTCCAACTTTTACAGCCAAAGGAATGAGTAGTTTATCCATCAGAATTTTCATAATTTTTGGTGAAAGTATAATTCAGTACCAGGCCTATGGAAGGTAATTTGCTAATATCTATAAATATTATTTTTTACTGTGTATATCCCTGGGCCAAATAATTCTACTTCCACAGATCTGATTTACAGATATACTTTTTATATACTTTTATACCTTTATATGAAAAGATACATACTTTCGTATCCATATTCATATGAAGATATATACAAAAAATAGTCACTGCAGTCTTATTTGTTGTAGGAAAGGTAAGGTGCAGCCTTGGCCGGTGTGGCTCAGCTATTTGGACCACTGTCCCATAAAACGAAGGGCCATGGGTTCGATTCCTGGTGAGGGCTCATGCCTGGGCTGCAGTTCAGCTCCTGGGTCAGGGCATGTACAAGAGGTAACTGGTCACTCTCACATTGATGTTTCTCTCCCTGTCTCACTCCTTCCCTTCCCCTCTCTAAAATCAAAAAGCATGTTCTTGGGTGAGGATAAAAAACAGATGGGGTACAAATCAAATGTGTCTCAATATGGGACTCCTTAAATAAAGCAAGGTCTATCCATATAATGAAATGCTATGCAGCCAATGAAAGGAGAAAGGCATAGCTAGATGGCATCATCTCTAAGATGTGAAATAATGCAAGTGAGAAATGATATGCAGGGCACGCTACTACTTGTTTTTGTTTTTAAAGGAAGTAGGAGACTTCCTACACATATGTGTACACATATGCTTGTGTGTGCACAGAATACCTCTGGTGGCACAGTTCTGACGCACAGCAACAAAGGCTAGAGATGGGGTACACGTTTTTAGAAGTAACTTGAGTTTTTCATTTTAACTATATGTACACATTACCTGTTAATTTTTTTAATTACCTCAAAAATTTTTAAAGCTTTCCAGAGACCAAACATCTAATCCTAAAATATCTCCAAATGCTCAGAGAGAAAAAGGTAAGAAACCTTAGCAGCAAGAAATCTACCAAACCAATGCCAGCAATCAGGATGGTTGTGACAGCAGCCCTGACTTCTAAGGGCCTCAAGGGCAGCATCACCTGGCAGGAATGCTTTGAGCTTTTCTTTTTTTCCCTTTGGTTTTCTGTGTCTGCTCCTCACCATCCACTTCGTCTTCTTTCACTAATTCATTTACATCATCTTCACTATACTCTTCACCTGAAATCACATAATAGGGTGGTCAGACAGACATTAATAAAGGTTTTCACATCAAGATGAGACATTTGCATTAAGCAAGAAGTCTAGTACTTTCCTCTGTTCTTCACCTAACTAGAATATTACTTCCTGAGACAAGTATTCCCTGTCCCCGGAGACTAGGCTAAGTCCCCAGACTCTAGGCTTGCAGAGCAGTCCACATTTCCCCCCCTTACTCATCCCACTTATATTTAATGTTCACAATTTCTGCTATGCTCTGCCCATCATGAGGACAAAGACCCTGTTTTCTCTTTATAGGTATCTGCTGAATGAATGAATGATAGAATGATAGAATGAGTGAATGAATAGAAATCCCAACTCTACCTACTGTATTTTTCAAAGAAGAAACTGATGCTCCCACTTCATCTTGAATATATCCTTCAAAAGTAAGCAAACAATACCTTGTCTTGTGAATAAAAGAGGTTTAGAGAGAGGTCTAAAGACCTCCAGTTAGACACAGCAGGAAGAACAAGTGTGTCTGCTCCCCATCCTCACACATGGACACTCAGGCTCCCCCGTGAAAGAGTGTTTGTTACCTGGATGTCCAGCCCAGTCTGCACATGCTCACGGCACCAGTTAACAAACTCCACCCACATGGGTATTCAGGTGGCTTTTTTACTTCATATAGCCTTTTACTGGAAGCAGAACATACCGTATTTTTTGGACTATAGGATGCATTTTTTTAACCACATTTTTTGCTTCAAAAATTTCCCCCCTATTTTTCTCTAAAACCTAGGTGTGTCTTATGGTCTGAAAAATAGGCACACCTAGGTTTTAGAGGAGAAAAATAGGGGAATAATGTTGAAGCAAAAAAATGTGGTAAAAAAGTGTGTCTTATAGTCCCAAAAATACGGTATATGTGAAAAACCACAAAATCTAATGTACAGTTCAATAAAATTATGCAAAGTGAACACACATAACCAGAGCCCAGCTTAAGAAGCTGGGTGATCAGCATTCCCGAAGACCCCTCGTGCCCCCTTCCAGTCACCAGCCACCAGCCCCGTCCAACAGCAGCCACTATCCTGACTTCTAATGCCACTGATTAGCTTTGTGGGCTTTGAGCACTAACAAACAAGCCTACATTATGTACTCTTTTGGGTCTGGCTGCTCTCATTCAACATTGTTTGTGATAGTCACCCTATCATTTCATGTAGCCATAGTTTATTCATTCTAACCCCAAAATAATATTTCATTGTATGACTACACCATAGCTTATTTATCCATTCTTCTGTTAATAGACATTTAGGTTGTTTCCAGTTTGGAGCCATTACAAATAGGGCTATTTTGAATATTTCTTACGTCTTATCAGCTTTTAAATATTTCACTTACAATGAACCAGTGATCACCAAACACTTCAAGGAAGCCTCCAATACAAAAAACAATACTGAAAACAAACAGAAAGAAACTCAGAGGAAACAGAATTAGGGGGGAAAAAAGTTAAAACATTTTTTTAAAAGCCTTTGTATTTAATAGACTCAAAGAGGCAGCCATGAAAATAAGAATGATTAAAAAAAATTTTTTTTTCAGAAAACTAAAACAAAACAAAAAAAACCCAAACTCTTGAAAACTACAAATATAGCAGATACTCGAAAAAGAGAAGAAGATGCTGAGAAGAAGCCAGCCATGAGAAAATCTGGAGAACAAACATATGAGCCCGAGAAAACTATATATAAGGGTTCTAAAGCGGAAACAAGTTTGGTGTCCAGCTACCAAATGATAAGTGAAAATGTCTCATGAAGAGGGGATTGAGTCCTGGGTTAAGATGGTAGTTTGAACACACAAATGTAATTTTGCTTCCTCCTGACACCCCAGGAAATTTATACAGCAAAAGACATAAACCCGCGATGGTGGTCACCTAGCTGCATCATATTTGTTTGTATTTGTAAAAGGCAACACTGGAAGGATAAACAAAAAAAAACTAATGGAAACAGCCATCTATAAGGGTTGGGTAGAACAGGGTGGAGTAGGTAGGGACAGAAACTAGAAGTCTGTTTATCTTTCTGTGGAATTTTGAACATCCCTTAAGCACAGTCTGAATAAATAAATATAACGATATGCCCAAACAATAATATAACCCATAAAGATGGGATTCTAACAAGTTTAGAAACATAGTTTCTGACTGTACATTTTTAGCAGGATGCAATCTAAAGACAAAAATGTTCTACTCCTTGTGGTGATACCAATGTTGGTGCCATGCAACTATTTCCTTTATACAACAGGTGAAAGCAAGTAGTTACATTAATCACGTTAGGAATCCAGACGTTCAGAATAGAGAAGCGGCACACAATTATAAAATCAAAGAACTTGAGTATGAAAATACAAATGATTAAACAGAATTTAAGCCCTGGATCAGCTGGTTGGAGCATGTCCTGTAAACCAAAAGTTTGAGGGTTTGATTCCTAGTCAGGGCACATGCCTAGGTTTCAGTCCAGTCCCCAGTCAGGGTGCGTACAAGAGGCAACCCATTGATGTTTCTCTCTCGCATGAATGTTTCTCTCCCTCTCCTCGCCCTCTCTAAAATCAAAACGCATGCCTCCGGGTGAGGACAGAAAAAAAAAAGAACCACATAATTTAAAATATCAATATGAACTCTAACTCAAACTGGGACATTCTGCTGCACCAGAAAGCAAGGAATGGGTCACTTTCAAAGGTTTTAAGATCCCACTTGAAAGAAGTCCTAGTAGCCAAAAGTGATGACATGAACTAAAAGGAATAATGGTTAGTAGATTAAAACACATGTAATTGATAAAAATCTGTGAATACGTTATGATATTAAAAAAAAAACTGTACCATTGTAAATAAGCTATTATTAAAATTGCCCCCATTTTGAAAATTGATAATTAAGGAAAATGAATTAACATTTATCTGGCCCTAGTTGATGAGGAAAAGCTATATATACTTTCAGAAGAACATCAATTAACCAATGTAAAAGACCCACAGAATTAAAAAAACACCACAGGGAACAACAATGACATAACAGAGGAATCCAACTCTCACCATCCTGATTCAGCAGTCACAACTATGGGGATCAACCAGGCATAAGGTGTCTTCTGATGTCATGCATTGTGTAACACAAGGGTTATCTATAATGTATTCTAGCCAAAAATATTTTATTTGAACCCATCAAGCACTTAGGTCTACCTTCTAATGTATGGAAAATTCAAGGGACAAAGCAACAAAGGAACACCGTGAGGGAGCAACAAATCCTGAGGTTGAGACATTCTGCAGGACAGGCACCTGACCCTCTTAAGCATATCAGTGTCATTACACAAAGGTTTCTATTAGCTTAAACAGATTTCAGGGACGGGACAACTACACGACATGTGTGGTCCTGAACTGAACTGTGATTTGGACAGACAAGCTAGAGCCAATTTGGGGGTCAACTGGGAAAATCTGAATATGGTCTGTATGTTAGATGAGTTATAAGTTTACTGAAATGGATAGGGAGAGATTGTTCACTGAAAAGAGCAGGTAATACAGTAACATGAAAAAGTATCATTTCAGTTTGGGGAAAACACAAACACCTATAGCTGGGTATAGAAAAAGACCAGCATGAGCATTCACTAAGGAATTAAAACCAATAATCTCTGGATGGTGGGAATGCAATGATTCTATTTTTTTTTAATGTTTGTTTGCTTTTTTTCATTTTCTGCCAAGCTCATGACTGCTTTTGTAGTACAAAGTTATTTTTCATCATGTAAATGGACAAATATTGCAGACAGTTCAGACAAGGAAAAGTACATGGCTCTGGATCTTAAACATGTAAAAAGTTCCTCAATCTCACTGATGAAATAAGCACATTTTAAAGTAAAACAATCAAGATCAAATTCCATGCAGTTACTATGAGAAAAAAAGAGTAAGAAGCAGAATAACAACCCGATAGACAATAAAGCACAAAACAGACAACTACTGTCCAAGGACTCAGCACTCACCTCACCCTTTATTCCCCAATGCTTAAACATGAGCCAAGCAACTAAGAATCACACAAAATCTGAGAAAGCATGTAATATAATAGAGCCCAAAACAAACATATAGAATGAATAAAAATCACCTTAGAGGGAATGAAGATTGTTTCATTTCATGAGACTAGCATTTTTGACACTAAAATCAGACAAGGAAATTATAAGAGAACTACAGACCAACATCCCTCATAAACATGGATGCAAAAAATCCTCAACAAAATATTGGCAAATATCTTCAGCAATGTATAAAAAGAATAATACATTATGACCATGTGAGTTTTATCCCAGAAATAAAAGGCTGCTCAAAATTTAAAAACCAATCACTGTATTCTATCACATTAACAAACAAAAGAAGAAAATCTACCCATAACCAATAGATGGAGAAAAAGCATTTGACAAAGTTTACCCCTCAGCAAATGAGGAACAGAGGAAACTTTAATTTGATAAAAGGCATGTATAAGAGGCAGAATATGCAGAATGCCACAGTTCAAATGCCAACTTAGCTACTATCTTAGCTGGGTGACTTTAGGGGCCTCAGTTTCTTCATCTGTAAAATGAAGAGCACAATAACAGCACCTATCTGGTAGTTTTCTGTGGTTGAGTTAGTCACTGTAAAATGCTAAAATACACACAGAAACGGCAGCCTTGAAAAACTTACAGCTAACATTTTACTAAATGGTGAAATACTGATTCCTTCCCCTTAAAACTGGAAACATGGCAAGGATGTCCATTGTCACTATTACTATTTAACATCATATTGGAAGTCATATCAAGTACAATAAGGCAAGCAAAAAGAAATAAATAAAAGGTATATTTCAGGAAATAGAAGAAACAAAACTATTTCTATTCACAGATAACATAATCTATGGGTTTTGTTTTTTTTTTCTTTACAAGGCAGGGAGAATAAGGGGACGATCTTGGAACTGTCCATTCTGATGGTTGTTACACAACTCTAAGTGTTTGTTGAAATTCATAACCATACACCAGAAAGAGTAAATGTTACTGAAGCTCAAAAATTTTTAAATTTAAGTATTATTAATATCTATACAGCAATAAGATACTGCATTTACGAAACAAGAATGTGATTGCTATAAAAATTATTCAAAGAACAAAGAGTTCTTCAAAATTAAAAATATGAAAGGAAGAAGCACAACAGATGAGCTGGAACACAAAATATTGAGAATTTCCTATAAAGTGAAAAAAAGTCAAAGGGTTAGAAAATAGGAGATAAAAAAAATTAGAGTACCAGTCCAGAACAGTTAATGTAACATTCAACATACGAATAATGATGATTTCAAAAAAATAAAAGAGAAGCCCTGGCTGGTGTGGCTCAGTGGACTGAGCGCCGGCCTGTGAACCAAAGGGTTGCTGGTTTGATTCCCGGTCAGGGCACATACCTGGGTTGTGGGCCAGGTCCCCAGTGAGGAGCACACGAGAGGCAACCACACACTGATGTTTCTCTCCCTTTCTCCCAACCTTCCCCTCTGTCTAAAAATAAATAAATAAATAAATAAATAATTTTAAAAATTAATAAAAAAATAAAAGAGAAAACAATTTCTTTTTTAAAGAAAGGGAGGAAGAGAGAGGGAGAGAAACATTAATGTGTGGTTGCCTCTCGCACCGGACACTGGGGCCTGGCCCGCAATCAAACCAGCAGCCCTTTGGTTCACAGGCTGGCACTCAATCTACTGAGCCACACCAGCCACGGTGTGAAAACAGAACATTGTTAAAAAAAAAAAAAAATTCCCAGAAGTCAAGCACAATAAATGAAAATAGACGCAAACCAAGGCAGGTATATCATTGTGAATTATCAGAAAATATCAGGAAAAAACATATCAGGAATAGAAGACTATCAGCTTCCACAGACAAACATCATATATAAATGAGCATAAATCAGCAACAAAACAGATTTTTAAAAAATTCTCACCTGAGGATATGTTTATTGATTTTTAGAGAGAGGAACAGGGAGGTGGTGGAGAAAAGAGAGAGACACACACACACTGAGACAGAAACATCAATTAGCTGTTTCCTGTATGTGCCCCAACTGGGGATCAAACCCACAACCCAGGTATGCGCCCTGTCCAGGGACTGAACTTGCAACTTTTTGGTACATAGGATGACACTCCAACCAACTGAGCCACCTAGCCAGAACCAAAACAGATTTCTTTCTTTCTTTGTTTTTAAGATTTTATTTATTCACATTTTAGAGAGAGGGAAAGGAGGGAGAGACAGAGGTAGAGAAACATCAATGTGTGAGAGACAATGATTGGTTGCTTCTCACAAGCCCCAACTGGGAACCTGGCCCACAACCCAGGCATGTGCCCTGACTGAGAATCGAACTAGAGACCTTTCAGTTCACAGACTAGCACTCAATCCACTGAGCCATACCAGCCAGGGTCAAAACAGATTTCTTAAGAGAAAACACTGGGAACTAGAAAATAATGGCACATCACCTTTAAAATTCAGGTAGACAAAAGCAATCTATTGATTCAACATTATTCCTATCAAAATACCAATGGCATATTTCACAGAACTAGAACAAATAATCCAGAAATCTATATGAAACCACAAAAGACCTAAATACCCACAGCAATCTTGAGAAAGAAGAACCAAGTTGGAGACATCATGCTACCTGATATCAAACTATGCTACAAGGCTGCAGTAATTAAAACAGCATGGTACTGGCATAAAAACTGATATATAGGTCAATGGAACAGAACAGAGAGCCCAGAAATAAACCCATGCCTATATGGTCAATTAACATATGACATATGAGGCAAGAATATACAATGGGGTAAAGACAGTCTATTCAATAAATGGTGCTGGGAAAACTGGACACATACATGGAAAAAAATAAAACTAAAACCTTCCTACACCATATACAAGAATAAACTCAAATTGGAATAAAGAGTTAAATGTAAGGCTCAAAACCATAAAACTCCTAGAAGAAATAATAGGCAGTAAAGTCTCAATATTTCTCTTAGCAATATTTTTTCCGATATATCTCCTCTGGCAATGGAAACAAAAGAAAAAATAAGCAAATGGGACCAGATCAAACTAAAAAGTTTTTGCACGGAAAAGGAAACCATCAACAAAATGAAAAGACAACCTACTGAATAGGAGAAGGTTTTCACCAATTACTACATCCAATCATTGGGGTTAATATCCAAAATTTATAACGAACTCAAAACAACTCAACACCAAAAACACAAACAATCCAATTTTTAAAATGGGCAGAAGAGCACTTGATATTTCTCCAAAGGAGGATATATAGATAGGCAACAGACATATGGAAAGATGCTCAACATTACTATCATCAGAGAGATGCAAATTAAAACCATGATGAAATATCACCTCACACCAGTCAGAATGGTTATCATTAATAAATCAACAAACAAGTGCTGCTGAGGATGTGGAGAAAGGGGAACCCTCACTTACTGTTGGTGGAAATGCAGACTGGTGCAGCCACTATGGTAAACCTGCATACGGAAGTCCCTCAAAAAATTAAAAATGGAACCTCCTTATGACCCAGTGATTCCACATCTGGGCATTTATCTGAAGAAACCCAAAACACTAACTCAAAACAATATATGTTCCCTATGTTCATTGCAGCATTATTTATAATAGCCAAGATATGGAAGCAACCCAAGTCCCCATCAAAAGACAAGTGGATAAAAAAGTGGTGGTACAGATACACAGTGGAATATTACTTGGTCATAAAAAGGAATTAAATCTGACCATTTGTGACAGCATGGGTAGACCCAGAAGGTATTACACCAAATGAAATAAGCCAGTCAAAAAAGGATCTCACTTATGTGGAATCTAAAGAACAGAATAAACAAACAAACCAACATGAAACAGAGTCATGGATACAGAGAACAGACTGATGACAGCCAGAGGGGAGAGGTTTTTTAATAAGGTATATGAATGTCTACCCACAGTGCTGTACACCTGAAACTAATGCAAGATAATGTTGAATTAAACTGTAAGTGAAAAGAAGTTTAAGAGAAATAAAAAGTCAGATGGAGAATTATTATAGAGCTTGAAATTATTATTACAGAACACAAAAATCTATACAAAATGAATTATCAATCATGCCTGAGGGTCACATCATTATTTTTTGACATTCAAGGTCTGAAGAAAAAAAAATGTTTCTACCATGCATCCTTCTTCAAGAAGTTATTTGAGGATATATTCTCATCATGGTGGATCCCACCAAGAAAAAGATAAATAGGACCCAAGAAACAGAAAATTCAACAGAAAAGGGAGATAAAGGGAACGCCTAGCGTGGTAATGAGATGGAAGACACTAGTTTTAAAAGTGGTAAAAATCAAGCCAAATCGGAGAGGGTAAGAAGGCAAAGATGGACTTCAAGATGAAAGTGGAACATTATTTAATAAATCTAAATATCTTGGAAGATGATTTAGACAATTCTGAGAATTAAGGGTCAAATCAAGAGTAAGTACATACACTAAACAACCAAGTGGCATTAACTCCCGAGAAAACAAGTGGTACAGGAAAAACAATCACAGTACATACCACATGGTTCAGCTGTGAAGGTGGTGTTCAGTCATTACAATAAAGTAAACTCATTCGGTTGAAAAGGGGCTCTATGGAAAGTAACCTCACAGGGTGTAAATTCCTACTTGGGCAGGTCATAGTGGGTAGTCAGGCCCCAGGCATACACCTTCTTTAGTAAAAGGCTTATTTTTGCCTTCAGCAAACCCTGTCCATTTTTTCCTGTGCATCTAGGTTAATAAACTTTTGAAATGCCCCCTTTCAGGTCCTTCCTTCTAAATCGACCACCCTTAAAACAGCAGGTGACCTCGATTACTCTGTAATCCATCCTGAATCCTGCCTTGCTTTCTTCCACCTTCAAGTCACATCTTCCCCACGCTCCCTCCTTAATTTCAAATGCATAAAAGAAACTCAAAATGTTATTCTCTGGAGCATTTGAGATTTTGCTCTTCAGCATACATCATCAGCTTGGCTCAAATAAACTCATAAAAATTCACTACAGGATTGGACATTTCTTATGTCAACTGGATACTGATATAATCAAAATTGGACATAGGAACAATTGCAAGCTGGACAGTTGGAAGGGTATATGTGTGCGGAGAGAGAGAGGAATGAGTCCAGGGAAGATTGATGCTGAGGAATGATGGGAACTGGTTTCAAAACAAGCCTTTTTGATTAAAATGAAAAGTAGTTTTCAAATGATCACTCTGGCCACCCTGGTCCTTAATTAGGGTAGTTCAATAGCAGTGAGATTAGTAAGGGAGTTGTCACAAGTTAATTTTCCACGTAGACACAACACAACTTATTGATCAGCTGGACCAAAAGTGAAGAATGAGGATGACTCCATTCCTAGGAGGTTTTGTTCGTTTTCTACCTAAACGATTGCATGGGTACTTTTAATAAAATGGGAAAGTCTGGGGAAGGCGCAGGATGGCGGAAGAGATCGGTCTGTTTAGGTAAGAAGATTTAGTTTGGCTCCGCTCAGTTCCAGATGCCTATACAAAACCATACATAAAAACTGAGACGGGAGCAATGGGCATATACGTTGCCAACGGGCAAAAAGCATTATCATGCGAACTTTCTACCGACCAGATCCCTTCTAAGAGTAAAAAGTGGACCGATCTATCTTGCACGCGATGCTAGCTGGCAATTCCCTCGGGACGGAAGGTCGTAACTTTCAATGCTCAGACTGCCTTTCCGACGATTTCGGCATTGGGGTGACTAGGAGACTGCTGCGGCCGCAGTGAGGCCACCGGGACGGCTGCGCGAGGTGCCCTCTGCACACCTCTCGGGCCGCAGGGGCGCAGCTGGCAGGGATGCTCCAGACCTGCGTCGCGGGGCCACCGGGGCCACGGGGCCCAGGCAGCGGAGCCAAGCGCACCTCTTGTGGGGCGCAGGGCGGGGCAAGCGTCTGAAGGCGGAATAGCTTACCCGAAGGCACGTAGTCTTCGTCCTCCTCTGAGGAGGAGACGTCGTCTGAGTCGAATTCCTCCATGTCGCTGCCACGCGGGGCGGGCCAAGCCACAGGACCGTAGCTACTGACCTCAAGGCAAAGATTTATGGAGAAACCCTAAAGCTGAGGCTGGGGTGGGTCCCCTCAGCATGTGCACATGCGCAGAGAGTGTACGTGATGGCTTCCAGGCCACTGCCTCGGCTTGACGTTACCGTAGGCAGTTGACTGAGCAGGGGCATTGTGATGAAGCGGTGCATTCTGGGACTTGTAGTCTTCGGCTCTACCTAGTTTTATTAATTTGGTAAATGGACTCAAATAAAATTACATGTCTGTGGGAATACAGTTGACCCTCTACTATTCACAGGTTGGTATTTTCGAATTCGCTTACTCGCTAAAATTTATTGTAACCCCAAAATCAATATCCGCGGTGCTTTCTGGGGTTATTTGCAGACATGAGCAGAGGGTGAAAATTTTGAGTGAATGGTGCGTTTTACCAGCTGACAATGAGCAAGGCAGAAGATCAGATTTTTGGTTCAGTTTTCATACGTATATGAGACTTTTTGCAGTCTATTAGTGCCACTTCTTTTTAGCATTTTTTTTGTTTTCCATTTCTGTGCTTTTTATAGTAATTTTGGTGTTTACAATGACTCCCAAGCCCAGTGCTGAAGTGCTGCATAACGTTCCTAAGCGCAATCAGGCTACGATGTGCCTTACGGAGAAAATACGTGTGTTGGATAAGCTTCGTTCAGGCGTGACATGTAGCGCTGTTGGCCGAGAATTCACTGTTAATAAACAATTCAGTACATCAAGAAAAAGGGAAAGGAAATTCTCAGATCTGTACTCGAGGCTACTCCAGAAAGCACTAACGTGACATCTACAGTGTGTGAGGAAGATATGGAAAAGATGGAAAAGCGGCTAACATTTGGACTTATGACAACAGATTTTTAAAAGGTGTGGTGGACAGCATGGTTGTGAGGCTGAAATTCAAAGACATTTATGGTCATGTTACTTAGGGTCAGGAAAATGTTAAACCCTTTCGGTTAGTGCTGGCTGACTTGCACATTTCAAAAGGCAATATGGGGTGAAAAATATTAAACTTACTACAGGCAAGTTCTGCAGACCAGGAGGCTGCGGAAGAATTTTAAAAATACTTGCTAAGTGTTACAAGGGAAAAGGGATATGTAGAAGAGCAGGTTTTCAATGCTGATGACACTGGTATGTTTTACAAGGACATTGGCAAACAAACCTATATAATGCAAATGGCCTCCAAAGTTCTTGGTTTTAAGTCACCCTGAGAATATGCAACCTTGCTATTGTGAGCCAATGCCACCAGCGACTTTAAGTGCAAACCCTTCATGTTGTACAGAGCCCAAAATCCACAAACACTTCAGGGGAAAGGCGGATCCATTGGAGATGGAACAAAAAAGCGTGGATGACGTTTGATTGGTTCCACAACTGTTTCATACCAGAAGTTGAATGCTATCTCCAGGGCAGAAACCTTGCCTTCAAGGTTTTATTAATTTTGCATAATGCCCCAGTCCATTGCTGTGAAGAACTCCAAAATGCCCACCCCAATGTAAAGGTTCTTTTCATGCCCTCAAATACCACGTCTCTCTTTCAAACCCTCAATCAAGGCATAATAAAGGCTTTCAAGGTGCGCTATACCAGCAAACATGTATTAAATAAGGTGTCTTTAAACAGAAACACACATAAAACAGGTTATGTGTTGATCAGTTGACAAGTGTGACCTGAGACTCGCAGGAAACCTGTATTTCCTTTTTCTCTTTCTTTTTTTTTTTTTACTATATCATAAGGAGAAATTAGTAGATAATACATTAATTTTTTATGTAAACTTGATACAGGTTCTTAAAAGAAAATTAATTCCTGTAATAAATATACTTAATTTCAAGATTTTTGGGGGAAAAACAAACCTCAGTGGCTCCCGTTCTTTACACATCCTGTTAGTGTGATCATAATTTTCTCTTCTCCCAATTTTTTCTGCAAAGCCTGAGTTCATCACTTCCTAAAGTTGATGACTGGGGAAAATTATATACCTTTTTCAATTAGCAAGACATCAGAAGAGATTTCAAGAGCTTGGGGAAGGGGCTGCATCTCTTACTGAAAAGGGTTAGTAAATAGAGACTCCAGAGACAGAATGGGTAAATATCTACAGAATCTGGAAAAGATGAGATTCACAAGGAAGCCAACCTTCCCCAAACCTCTTCATCCCACCGTAGGCTTAGGGGAACATTCAACCTGCCATTTCTCTATAACCCCCACTTCCAAACAAGGTGTTTTTATCTACCATAAGGTAACAAAAAGCTAGATATTTAGAGGAGTGATCACCAGTGCTTTGAACTCTGCATCTGATATGTTGGCTATCTCTTCATCACTTAGGTGTATTTTTTTCTGGAGATTTGTTCATTTGGACCTTTTTTTTTTTTTTTTGGTCTCAGCACGTCTATTACACATAAGGGTGGAGACCAACCCTGTATTTCCAATTATCATTCACTATTCACTACTTGAGTGTGTGGTGATTTTATAGACATAACTACCAAGAACGATAAGAATTGATTTATTCTAGAATTCAGACATCATCCACATGAATCCTTCCTTCGTGTTAATCCATATGGAAGTACAACCATATATAATCTCTATCATTTTATCAGATTAAAATTTTTGTTTGATTACAATCCAATATGGGAGGCAGTAATGCAGATAAGACATGACTAATATTCTATTTGTGCAGATTTAGGGTTTGTTTTTCAGCTGAAAAGTTGCTCCTTGTTGATATTCTGGATTATACTAGGTCTGTCACCCAGTCCTAGTTACCTAATCAAGGAACAGATGAAACACATCTGTGAGTAAAAGGACATTACAATGGCTCTATGCCAGCAAACTTTTAAAAATAGCCTAATTGGAATATAATTCACACACCATAAAATTTACCCATTTAAAGTGCACAATTCAGTAGTTTTTATATTGTCAGTTTGTGCAATCATCACCATAATCAATTTTGGAACATTTGTGTCAGCCCCAAAAAGGAACGTCTTACCCGTTGGTAGTCACTCTCCATTTCTCCCGCAATCCTCCGCCTCAAGGTAACCCTTGTGTTTCTATAGGTTTGCCTATCCTGGACATTTCATACACATGGAATTATACATGTCATCTTTTGTGACTCTTATTTCACTCAGCACTTTTCAAAGTTCATTTCTCTTAGGTTGTATGTACCTATGGAATTGCTTGATCATGTGAGAACTCTGTGCTTTACCTTTTGAGGAACTGCCAAACTGTTTCCCAAAAACACCATATTGTATTCTCACCAGCAGTGTATGAAGGCTTCAAATTCTCCATACCCTTGCCAACACTTTCTGATTATAACCATCCTAGTGGGTGTGAAGTGGTATTTTCATTGTAGTTTTGACTTAACTTGCATTTCCCTCATGACTATTTGTACTTCCTTGATGACCTTTCATGTCTTATTGCCCATGCTGTTCTTTGGAGAAGTGTCTATTCAGATCCTTTGCCCATTTTAAAATTTAACCATTTGTCTTTTTATTGAGTTGCAAGTTCCTTATATATTCTAAATACCCAGTCTCACAAAATATATGACTTCAAAATATTTCCTCCTGGGGTGTCTTTTCACTTTTGTTTCAAATGATGGCACCGTTTGAAGCATCAAAGTTTTTAACTTCCATGAAGTCCAATTTATCTATTTTTGTCTCTTGTTCCTTGTGCTTTGGGGATTGTATCTAAGAAGATTGTATCTTACATTTAGGTCTATGATCCATTTCAGCAGATCTTTCTTATGGGAGAATAATAGAAAAATAGATATAGGAGTTTACCATTCTTACCATAATTTTCCTTGAATGGCATGAAGGGACCCTGCAGTTGACCAACTGGGTCATGGTCGTTTAACCCATCACTGGGGTCTGAGTCGGGGGAAGGTTACAGTGGAGTTCTACAGCATCATCCCATTTCTTCCAGTCTCCTCTTGAGCTCATTAGCACTCCACACATGTGTTCAAATCCACAACCAAAGTTTCCAGCCACATTCAGGGTAGCCAGGGGAGGAAATATTTTCCATTATGTCAAGTAATTTAGCAAAGAGACATGTTTAGAAAAAAAAAAAGTTTGCTAACATGTTTAGCAAAAAAAAAAAAAAAACAAAAAACCCAAAATTTTTGCCCTGGCTGGTGTGGCTCAGTGGGTTAAGCACTGGCCTGCAAACTGAAAGGTCGCTGGTTTGATTCCCTGTCAGGGCACATGCCTGGGTTTCGGGCCAGGTTCCAGGTGGGGGCATACAAGAGGCGACTGATTGATGTTTCTCTTGCACATTGGTGTTTCTCTCCCCCTTTTTCTCCCTCTCTTCCCCTCTCTCTAAAAATACACAAATAAAATCTTTAAAAAAAGAAATAATAAATTTTTCACACTATCAGCTTTCCCTCATTTCAGTGTATAATCATACAAAAGTTTGTTGACAGTACTATATAGCCCACAAAGTGGAGTTAATAAGACTCAAGTTCACATGTAAGTAAGGTTTAATCACATCTTGGAACAAGAATTTTACCATAAATTAGTAAGAAGTTGAACATAAAAGGAATACTGCTAAACATGTTAAATACTAAGTTATAAAAAAACCCCCAAGAACTTAAGTCAGACAATTGTATTACAAAAGATTAAACTCATTGGCCACTGAAAGAGAAATAATAGTTCCAGTTCACAGAATTAAAAGTAATTCTTTATTGATAAACATTTATACCAGAATTAGGAATGTCAGTAGAAAAATAAAATTTAAATAATTTTCTATCATACAAATAGTTGATCAGTTTGACTGTAGCAGTTAGTGAAATAATCTAATACAAAAAGTTAAGCTGATTTTAGTCACAACCAGCCTCAGAGAGTGCACAAAAAGAAATGCAGGTACATAGAAGTTTCTGCCTATGGACCGCTCACGGCACCAGGGTTTCACATTCCAGGACATGGCGTCTCAGGGAAGGGTATATGCACTGCAGTTGTAGTAGGAACTTAATTCAAACCAGAGCAGTGAGAAAGGGCATCAAGAGCCAACATACGACTTAAAAAACTTAAAAAACAGAAGGATTATTACTTAAAGGTAATAATTGCATGAAGTTTTTCTCACTAGGCTAGACATTTCCTAAGAAGTAATATTTCATGGAAAAAAAAAGGGGGCGGTTAATAGCACAAAGAGCCATGGTTCTCTCCGAACATTCATTATGCATTTAAATGTGGACCTAAGTTTTTGCAAAATGCCTTTACCCTGAAACACCCATCGTAAAGAATCTAGAAATCAGCTTTTTGGTTGAGGGCTGTCTCCTTTCTCCACATTAAAAGAAAAAAAGTGAATATACAGCTGGGGGTTGGGGTAGTTGTGCATGTGTCTTAAGAAAGCCAGGTGTTGGTAATAATTATCAAAAAACTGTACAGTAAAATACAATGTTCAATACAAATGCCAATATTTTTTCATTTGAGCAACTACTCCCAAATAATTGTGTATTTGAAATGAGAAATTTAAAACAATCAAATAAAAAAAATAAGGAGGGACAGCCATTTTTTATCATTCAAATAGTTTGGTCCTAAAAACATTTCAAGCTGCAAAACTCAATTTATATAAACTATATACACATATATTCACAGAAGAATGTTCACACACTTGGATGGAGAAAACATTCAGTTTGAGGATACATTTTATATTTGAAGTTTTTGAAAAGAGCAGATAATCAAAATATAGCAAATATGGAAGGATGAAAACAGGAAACACCTTTCAAAATGCGTTAATTTTTTGTGTCTTGGCTCTAAAAGAAAAATAACCAAACATTTAAATCATAAATCAATATGGTTTTTAAATTAGTACTCTGGGGGAGGGGTCTACCAATCACTGGCCCACTTGTTCAATTTGTGAAATTCTATCCAAAAGAATGTTTTAGGGGAGAACGCTGAGGCATCTTTCAATAGAGATTGTTAAAATCATTTCTTATAATAGAGGATATATTCCAAATTTCTTAGACTTAAGGGCTACTTTTCAAAATCACAGCTCCTTGAGTTGAAAAATGGAGTCTTTAATTAAAGGCTTAAAAGTTGCTTGAAAGAAAGATTTGAACATTGGAGAGTAACCTTGGGTGTTTATAAAGACTTTTGTCTGCATTCCAACTCTACCTGTAATTTTCTACCTAGGCTGAGTATATGTCACTATAACTTTGACAAGTGGTCTAATGGCCTTTAGTGGAAAGAAAATGTCCAGTTAATTTTTGTGATCCCTTTGTAATTTTTCTCTTTTGACTATCCCTGATAAATTGGTCCCCCTGGCTGTTTTTAATCAGAAGCCAGAATGGGTATTTCTTTGAGTGAAACTGTGTGTATGTGACCTCATGGGCTGTCAATCTTACTCTCACAATAAAACTTTCCTTCAAAAAATGTCAAACTTAATTACCAGATGTTATTTTGAGAACAGATAACAACAACATTGATTGTATTCTATACAAAACAGTTTCGGTTTTTGCCATCCTTTCTGTTTTGAAGGTCACAGTTTTCAGGCCTTTTAACGAAAAAGATCATTAGGCAGTAAAAGAAAAATTTAAAAAGCTAAAATTGGATTTTAAAAGCCTCTTAATATTTGCCCCAGCAGGTGTGGCTCAGATGGTTGGAGCAGTGTCTGTGAACTGAAAGGTGGCAGGTTCCGTTCCCCATCAGGGCCTGTGTCTGGGCAGCTGGTTCAGTCTCCAGTTGGGGCAGGTATGAGAGGCAGCTGATCGATGTTTCTCTCTCACATTGATGTTTCTCTCCTTCTCTCTCTCTCCCTCTCTCTAAAAATCAATAAGCATGTCCTTGGATGAGGATAAAAAAGAAAAAAATCTCAATATTTAATGTTCTTTAAGGACATAAATTCTCTTAAAGGAAAATCTAAAGGAAGCAGTGGAAGGCATATCTGAAAATTAAACTTTAGGCACTTTCTGGAAGTGACAGCCACCACTAAGTAACTAAGAAGACTAAGTAGCTATTAAAACAAAGAAATCGATAACCCTAACACTAGTTTAAGCTGCACTTCTATTAATTTTTCAAGAGCCCGTAATAAACCAGTCACTAAGAAAAACTACAACAGAATGTTTTAAATATCTTTTTTATGTGCCTTAATGTCAAGAATACCCTAACCCATGTGGGTTAAAATTTTCAACTTGAGTTATTTAATAGGATCTTTTTCCAATTAAACTAAATAAAATTAATAGAAGTAACGGGGAAAGGTGGTACTGGAATTCTGGAGGAAAAAAGTCTCAATTAGCTAGCTTATTTTGATAAAATGTATAAAACAACAAATTCACATCTTTTAAAATATATTAAATAATCAGAGGTCAAGATACTTATCCATAGAATGTCACATCATTCAGTAGTTAGCTCCTTTTTTAAAGAACAGTGGAATCAAAGTCACTACTTGTGTTACAGATTTTTTTTGTTTTATTTCACCAAATTTGTTCACAAAGCTATATTCAATCATAACTATTTGGCACTTACTATCGTGAAGGTGTAGCAAAAAAAAGTCTGCCAAATTTCAATCAAGATTAGATCAAGTAAGATTTTTAGTACAGTATAGTCTGCTTAGAAATAAACCAATATTTTCCATAGTTTTTCTGAAATATACATCACTGCATTTTCTCACACAATATTGTGAATTTCAGTGCGAAGACTGCTGACCCAGAAGCACAGCTGACCTGGCTTTGGGTAAAGGTGCACCTGTAAAACTGCTTAAATTAAATATAAAAAACAAACAAACAAAATAAAACTTGATTTGTTTGGTTGAGAACAATAAGAGTCCAAAAGGATCTTCACTTCCTGGAGCTTCAAATTGAAGAAAAGGCGGAGTTGCTGTTCTTCACATACTTTTTCATCCAAGTTGCTTCCATTTGAAGAACTAAGAAAACACTACATTCCGTATCATATTATTTTTGAGGATTCTATGAAACTTAAGTTCAACATCATAGCATAAGGGTCTATGCTATAGAGTAGCTAAAACCCGTAAAAAGGAGACCACCACCACACAAAATGTCTGTCCGGTGCCGAAGGTGAGGGCTTCAAACGGAATCATTTCCTTTCCTGCTGCTCGGTACACTCCTGCAATGGCTGCGCCTGTCCAAAAGTTCAAGAGTGTTAAAAGAAAAATCAAGATTAATATAATCAGGAAATTATAGCACTTAAAATTCTACGATTAGTAAACTGTTCCAGATTTTTTACATTAAAATTTAAACATTGTACAAATGCTTTTGTTTTCCCTATTCGTTTGCTGACTATTCCGTGTTTTAAGTATTCCTTCTATGGTTTGCAAATTATTGATCTCTGCTTTTAGATATTTTAAAGTGACACCTTAAAACTGAGAGTCTCCTAGACATAGTGAATAAAACCCATCTGGAGGTCATAAACCAAATCACAAGGACTGCAATTTCCACATGACCTGATCACAAACTCAAAAACATCTCTTTCTTCCCCATGTGTTTAACAGGTACCTAATACATTCTTGGCAATAAATAACAAAGAATCTTCTGTGTGAGAGTGAGCAAGAAATATTTCAGGAAAAGCCACAGGGAACCTCTACTCCACCTTCTACTACACTTAAAGTTCTCTCTAGGAAGAGGATAGGATGTAGGAGGGAGGAGAGGGGTAGAAAAAGGAAGACAGGAGGACTCGAACCCTATAAAGTTGCTACTAATTCAAAGGGTACGAGGAAAGAAATACTCAGGGATTCCTTTCTGTTCCCTACGTCATTAATTGTTTTTATTATGTTAGTCACTATAACTCCCTAGAAACAGAGTAAACAGAACAAGCACATTTGTATCTACTCAGGTACCCTGAGTTGCTGCAGGGACTCACCATTGTGCCAAGAAAGTTAAGATTTCATTAGTTTGAAAAGGAATAGATCCGAAGTTCCCAGATAAGCGCCCCACCAAATGCTCCCAACAAGCTTCTCCTTGGTCACAGAGTGTTCATTCATTCAAATATTTATGTATTTCTATGTTTTGCAAGGTATGATCCCTGTCCTCCTAGTACACAGAATCTAGCTGAGGACACAAGACAGAAAGCACAAGCATGAAAGAGGTTCTGAATGACTCAAGACATAGAGTGTCTCAATCAAATGTCTACACAGTTTATAACTATGATGTGAGGGTGTATTAACCAATTTAAGAGGAAGAATATTAACTAATACCTGTGCTGGTTTCCCGCAACATTTGAACTGTGGAATGCCCATCTCCAGTGGCCATGCTCACATACTGTGCCACTGTCATCTGAGAAGCACATGCTTCATTGAACCCCTTCTAGAATTTAGTTCCAAAAAAGTGGGTTGGGTAGAAAGAAGCTAAAGCAACCTGACCTGGGCCTTAAAGTGGGATCTGGATGATGAAGAAGGGAAGAAAAGAAAAAGCTTCCGAAAAGATCAGCAATATGAGAAGGGAACAGACTCTGTGCATAAAATCTTAAAGACAAACACAGCATTTAGGGCACAATTACTGTGTGTTTGTATTATGTTAAACTCTTCGCATACACACTATTTCGTTTAATCATCACATGGCATAAGAGGTGGGTAGTATCATCCTCACTGCACTGGTGAGAAATCTGAAACAGGTCCTCACAGCCAGTCATCCAGTAAAAAAACTGGAGCAGAGGGTCTCTAAAGACAGCTGATGTAGCTCAAAATACTGGAAAAGGCCAGTTATGGAAACTCCTTAATGCAGACAGGAGAAAACTGGCCTCCTTCCTGTGTTATCTCAAAGGTTTTATCATTTGCAGAACACAGAGAAAAGAGGCCACTTTGTCCCCAAAAAACCCCTCACGTCAGAGACAGAGGGAGATCTCTGCTTGAAGCTCAAGGTTTAGATTCACAGGAAAAGAAATAAAGTTACAAATTAGTAGGAATGTTATGTTTCTATTTTGTAAAAATATATTTATGTTTACATGTATACCTAGAAAAGAGCTGGAAAGCATAGACCAAAATGCAAATTGTGGTTCTCATTTAGGGATGTGGCAATGGAGGATTTTTATTTTTCTTTTCTTAACTTTTAAATTTATATAAAATATACATGTTAGTTCTATTTAAGTATGAGCTTAAAAAGATTTAAACTTATTTACATCCCTGTGACATGAGCAAAAGCCAAGGGAAAAAAAAAACAGGTAAAAATAATTTATAATATGAATGTTACTCTAATTCTTACTCAGGAATTCCTGAGAGGAAAAAAATAACCAGGTACTTTTTAAAACAAGCATTCTTGTCATTGGAACTATTCTTCCATCCTTAAAGTAACCACACCTGAATGAGTAGAAACGATTCATCAGCCATCCTGTCATGCTATCCCTCAAGTGCCAGCTGATGAGAAAGGAGCAGTAGCTTCCAGAAAGACAAATATCTTCCTTTTGCTGGTGACCAGTTAGAAGATTTCCTCACAAAGCTTAATTAACATAGACTTAACACAGGCTTCCCTGAAGCCAGCAAGAAGAAATCTGACTCAGGAAATCAAAGATGTTAGCCCAATAATAATGGGGGGGACGAGGGTGAGGAAAAAAACAATACATAAAAAAGGGTCCTGTGCAATGGATCGATGTTTCTCTCACACCAGTGTTTCGCTATCTCCCTTCCCTTCTTGAAAAGCAATGAAAAAAATGTCCCTGGGTGAGGATAAAAAAAAATTTTTTTAAACGGACCTGTGGTTAAAGACCACTCTTTCTCTTCATCCCACTCAGGCCTGTTTCTAAATGGGTCCTGAAATGAACTGACAAGTCATATGAAATATTTTGACTGGTATTTTATTTTATTTTTATTTTTACTTCTTATTGAACTTACTAGGGTGACATTGGTTAATATAATTATATAGGTCTCAGGGGTATGACTCAATAACACATCATCTGTATATTGTATTGTGTGTTCACCACCCCAAGTCAAGTCTCCTTCCACCACCATTTACCCCCCTTTTCCCTCTTCCACCTCCCCCTACCCCCATTTCCCTCTGGTAATCATCACACTGTCGTGTGTGTCTATGATTGACTGGTATTTTAATGTCTAACATACTTGTCAAGATTCCAGCAGTTATTGGTCCCACGATGCCCATCAACAGGATGCTTACAGACATGAACCTACCATATTTGTGATGTCTGAGGGTGAAGAGGGCCAGTAATCCAGCGGGGACATGAAAGAAGAGAGAGGACACCAGTGCCCACAGGAACACGCCATACCACATCTCTACAAGGGAAAGCAAAGAAGGGTCACAAATCACTGCCTTTCCCAGTGCAGTCATCACAGACCCATAACTGGGTCATGACACCCAGTTAGTCCATTTTCAAAACCATTCAGCTGCAAGGTAGGTTCATCAGTGAACTAACCAAATAGTGATGGGATCAGCAAACTGCAGCCAATGCCTGTTTTTGTCCATAAAGTCTTACTGGACCAAGTCATGCCCACTCATTTAAGTCTTGTCTATGGTTGTTTTTAAGCCACAAGAACAGAGCTGAAATAGCGTCAGGGACCACATGGCCTGCAAAGCCTGGAATATTTACTATATGGCCTTTCACAGAAAAAGATGACCAATCCCTGATAAGCTACCTCTAGCCCCAAACACTGAAGAAAAGAAAAAAAAAAGGTTCACTCAGATTTGAAAACTGCCCTAAATCATGTCCCTCCTGTAAGAACTACAAGCCTAAATCACTGACAGGGTGCCATGCCGTCAACACCTGTTGATCTTTCCTGGAGTTTTGATTATTCAGTCTCCTACAATGGAAAGCTATAAATTACATTCATTCAACAATCATCTTCAAGATAATACAGTAAATATCAAGCCACATCCTCCTTTTAGGTTATCAAAGCTCCTCAAGATATGTCATAAATACCAGGAAATAGGAATGTTTGAAGACAAACAGTAAGTAAAGGGCAGGTTAGAAGAGGACCTGGTTCCTACAGAGAACCTCTAATCACTCTTAGGATGACAGTAATTCAGTGACATTAAAAACTTTGATCACCACCCATGCACGCAAACCTGTGCATGAGACACCTTGGAAAATACAAAAAAGGAGGCGATACCATCCTACCCTCATGACTGTATAATTCGGTAAGTGGCAGGCACAGCATTCCCCCGCAGTGAGCCCAGGCAGCTTTAGAATTCTCCGAACAGCTCTCTAGCCACCCACATGGATATAGAGAAGGTGACAGACACATCAGAGAAAATCTTGTCCATCCTCCTGCTAGAGGTGGGTAAGTAACAGGCAATTTAAGAGATCAGTCAATAGCCTAACTCAGGGTTTCTCCATCACAGCACTACAGCCGTTTGGACCAGGTAACTGGTGTGGGCGGCTGTCCTGTGTGCTTGTAGGACCTGGAGCAGCACTCCCTGCCTCTACCCCCTGGATGCCAGCGGTATTCCCTCCCCAGCTGTGACAGCCAAACATTGCCAAAAGTCCCCTGGAGGCAAAACCGCCCAAATTAAAAACCCACTGGCTGAGGCAGAGGGTTTATAAGAGCAATAACAGTTAAAGCTGCAAAGATAGATGGGGTCACATTACCGTGAGCTTTGAAGCCCAGATTGGAATTCAACCAACGTGAAAGCCCTGATGTACCAGTAAAGGTTTTGAGCAGTAAAGCTTTGTCACACATTATATTCCAGGTCCCACCTTACATTCTCAGTAGAACAAACTGGAAAACCTTTCCAGAGGGTAATTTGGACACGTGTATCCAAAAAAGTCAAATGTGCACATGCCCTGCCATGGCGATTGTGCTTCCAGGAATACAGCCTACAGGGATGCGCACGCAGGCAAGGACAGGCAACGAGACGTTCTCGGCAGCGCTGTCTGTAAGGGAGAAAACTAGATCCAACGGCATGTCTGTCAATGTGGGGTTACTTGTGAAACACATTTGGTGTGTCCACAAAATTGAACATTGCACAATCATATGAAAATGTAAGATAGATCTTTCTATACTGATAGGGTAGGATGCCATAAGTATACAAAATAATGTAAAAGAATGTCAATCGCAGAATAGTATGCAGAATAAGATCCCATTTTTGTAAAAACAAAACATAAACATTCACGTGTAAATGCTTCTGTGTACTCTGAGAAAAGTCTGGACATGTTTGTTTAATAAATATTTACAACATGCACAGGTGCTGTTCTAAGTGCTTTACAAACATCAGCACATGTAATCCTCTAAACAACTTGGCGAGGCACGTATTATTAATATCCCCAGCTCTCGGGCTGAGACAATGGAGGCAGAGGGAGGTGAAGAAATCTGCCTGAGCCCACGCCCAGCACAAGGCAGGGTCCAGGTTCAACCCTGACTGCCCTCACTCTCCAAGCGCCTCTTGGCGCACACTAAGCAACAGAAAATTGTTATTTCTGGAGAGTAGGGTAGGTTGGGGGAGGGTTGATGACAATTCACTTCTCACTTTGAAAGAAAACAACGAAACTTGTGTTTTAAAACGAACTGTTCAGGAAGCCTGGTCCAATTGGGATGAACAGCTGAAGAGGGGGCAGTGAGGAGCATCAGTCAGCCATTTTTCAAGCTGAATTTGAGTTGTAAGCTTCTGTTGTGTGTGAGATTTTTTTCCCAGATAAATTTCTTATTCTTCTTGGCAGAGGGGCAGGGTGCTTAAGGGGCTTACAGAGATTAGGGGTGTGGGTCAAATCCCCCAAACCACCCTCATCATTGTCTCTGATGACTGTGTTCTTTGCTCACTTTGAGTCAAATAAAGCTTCAGTTAATACCATATTCTACATATACCTAAATTAGGATGCCTAGCTCCTGTTTTGGATGGAAGGCTCTGAATGAAAGCATTGGAGGGGCACCACCCAGGGCTCAAGCCTTATTAAAAATTAACGAACAACTGAGGGTGTTTGGCACTTTTGTTCTGGTGAAAAACTATCAGATAGCTAAAAAAAGTTTCAAATGGTTTGTGAGCTTTTATTTTTTCTTTCTGCTGAACAAGCTGTTATGTTTCTTTAGAATTTTTTTTTAAAGATTTTATTTATTTATTTTTTAGAGAGGGAAGGGAGAAAGAAAGAGAGAGAGAAACATCAAAGTGCGGTTGCTGGGGGTCATGGCCTGCAACCCAGGCATGTGCCCTGACTGGGAATTGAACCTGCGACACTTTGGTTCGCAGCCCACGCTCAATCCACTGAGCTACGCCAGCCAGGGCTAGAATTGTTTTATAATACTGTTGAAATTGGTCTATTTTGTTTGATGATAGATGATTTTTTTTTTTGCAAATTCTGTTAAAGCAAGTTAAATCATGCAATATGAAGTATAAAATGATTAAATAGCTGTGTCCCAAGCTTAAAATTAAATATATTACATATAAATAACTAACATATGTGTAATATATAAAAAATATATTTATTAACTAACTATTGCCCTTTGTCTACAGAGAAATAACCACCTTTCCAGTCAAAGTGTCGATCAGCAATTGAGGGCAGGATTCTGAATCCTCAGGGTCTGGGTCCCATCGTCTTCAGAAACAAACCTACATCACTGCGGCCTCCTTTTCCAGCCTTGGGTGGGAAGCCATTCTTGCTTCCCCTGCCCAGGAGACTTGCCCTCTCTTCTTGTCTGGTGTCCAGACCGTGCTTCTCCCCAATAAAAGTGTGCCCATCAGAGCTCTGACACCCACAAACCTCTCCTGCCTGGGCAGCTTCTGCTGCACCCTGGCTCAGTGAGAGCAGCCTGGCCCCCCGGCTGAAGGCCTCGTACGCCACCCCATCAGCAGCTCATCCCCAAACCAAGGCACAGTACCGTGCAGTTTCCTCCCAGAGCAGTTAACCCCATCTTAAATCCCATAGTCCTTACCAGCTATTCCCCAGATCACTCAGAGACGCCCTCCACGCACCACCCAGTGCACAAACTAAGGTCTGTGATGGCACCAAGAATGCCACTGCCCGGGGTGGACAAACAGGATTACAAATCTGCCTCAAAAACACAGGGCAGCTGCCATGGGCTTCTGGCTGCCACCACTGACCCAATACTGCTCTTGGGCCCTGCTGGAGTTCCCCAAATTTAGAGAAGCACTGCTCTCTGCATCAACTCAAGGCACAGTTGGCACACAACCTCTTACTGGCTGCCACACAACCATGGGGCAGTGAACTCCAAGGTGAGTCCTTCATCTGCCAGAGACTCACTCACTTCCACAAAAGTGGGTCTGGACACTCGGGTGTGCGACCCGAATGCCAAGAAACGAACTATGTTCTATCAAAATTCATATACCAAAGCTCTAATCAAGTAGGGCTATAGTCTTATAAGAAGAGGAAGAGAGATCTCTCTGTCTCTCATTCTCGCTCTCTCTCACCATGCAATGGGAGGACATGGAGAGAAGGCAGCCCAGAGGGCCCTCACCACAGCACAACCACGCTGGCCCCCCGCTGTTAGACTCCCAGCCTCCAGAACCGTGAGAAAATACAGGTCTGTTATTTAAGCCACTCAATCTATGGTATTTTGTAACAGCAGCCGGAGCTGACTAAGACACCAACACTCACCTGGTCCCACTTCTGGAGCACAGGACCTGCCCAAGAGGACCTGCCAGGCTACCAACCCACACCTCAATTTTCCTCAAGGTGAAAGGCCTGTTGGCAAACAAAGAAAGTCTGGCATATAGCAGGTCAGCACCTCCAAAGTGCTGAGAAGGAGAAGGTCGCTGCATCCTTCTGCAACCCTGAGCTGCATCCATTAGCTACCTCAAGGTGCCTACATATTTTATTCAGCATCATTTACATCACTTTATGCAGGAAAAAGGGCTTAATTATATTAGATGAGTAGTGCGGTTTAGAAAACAATTCTCAGATGGATGGGATTATTATAGCACTCTAATAGCAAAGGCAAACCCCAATCAATACAACACTTTAAAAGAAAAACTAAGTGATTTCCCTTTAATCTACTGCGCCTTAATTTGTTATCTATTTAATAGCTACTTATTGATTATCTTTTTATTTCCCTGGCTCAACACAGTGTCAAAAGTCTTTGTCTACACATCACACAGAACTTCCTTGTCCACTGTTTCAAACTAAGTGCATTATCATCAGCTTTGTGTATTTTGGCAGCTGAAGTCACATCACTTCCTGATGCTGAAGTACAAATTAGATGATCTGTAATAAAAGATTGTAAGGGGAAATCAGCACTGGTGACAGAGTGGGCCCCAAAGATTTCCACATACTTCTCCCCAGAGCCTGTGAATGTGTGTGGCAAAAGAGAGTTTACAGGTGTGATTA